CCTGTGTTCGGTTGCCGCGATAAGACGTTTTGCGCTGATGCGGCGTAAAATATTATACACCTATTGACTGGATATGAGGGTAATAGCAAGTTTGTTTTCCCTGAGATACCATCTATTGCTCGAGGCGAAGCCAAGGGCAATAGTTAGTTTCAAAGGGACAACAAACTTGCTATTACCCTTATAACCAGTCATTTAGTGTTTTATTATACCGAACAAAACAACATTCTAAAAAGACTACATAGACCACTTGGAAAAAAAACAAGTGGTCACATAAACATGATAAACATGCACAAGATGAACTATCAGGTTTTTTTGTCCGTGTGGTATTTGTCAATATTTTATTTACTGTAATCAAGACCAGGAATCCTTGTGTAAAAATTCCCGTGCATATAATAAATGCTAGCTAAAATATATTACTGTACACCAAAGCGATCCCAGATTATGAAGACGACGACAGACCCATACAATACATTTGTTATGTTTTAGTTCTTAAAATATGTCATGTATATTTTCTTTTTTGGTCTTTCCACTTTTCTGTGGAAAGACCTATTGGTTTTCTTCTGATTATTAGGTCTTTCCACTTTTCTGTGGAAAGACCTATTGATTTTCTTCTGATTATTATTATTTTTTTCTTCTTCCGCCACTTTTTTCTGACGGTGCTTTTTTGTTTCGCAAGATGCCGCTTAGATTTTTTGCATATGATATCGAACAGTTATCATGATTTTGAAACTGACCCTGTTAAGCCGAACACTTATTATTGTAAGAGTTATCTCCCCAAACACTGTTTTTCTTGTGTACAAATCTCCTTTGCAACTGTTAAAGATTACGACAAAACTATTTCACCAATTTGCTTGTTATATCTTCAGGATCTTAAAAATAATTTTGACCGAAGAGGTCCGGAGACTACATATGGGAGTTATTTTCCCTTTTGTCTTTTTAATAAGAAAAATATAGTTGTAGCTTGTAAACTATAAGTGATAAAGACCTAGCGTCTTTTGATTTGAGATTTTTGGTCCAAAAAGAGAAAATAGGGTCAAGGTCAAAGGTCAAGGTCATTTCAAAATTTGGATTTTGGCTTATTTTCACCACTTTTCAAACACGATATCAGATATCGACAACATAGTTTTACTTAATTGCAAGTTGCGACATGTCGTAACACAATACATATTGGTTTAAAAGGTGTGCTTACATCAAAATTGAGTTTTCTCCCCTCTTTATTTAAAAATATGCATATGGTGATATAACTCATGAACCAAATATAATTAAGATCTAGGGTCTTTTGATTTGAGGTCCTTGGTTGATGACCTTGAAATTGAGGCCAAGGTCATAGATTAAATTGACGTTCTAGATTTTGACCTTTGCTTTTACCTCATTTGTATACATGATAAAGCCATAGGACTTTTTGCATTTAGTTGCAAGCCGTATGACCTTGAAAAGGGAACCGGACGTGACCCTGTGTTAACCGGAAGTAGCTATTTGTTTGTACTTTTTGAATGTAAAAGTATATAGAACCATATATTTTTGGAATCAGTGTCAATTAAACAGTTAAATAATACCGGAAGTAACCTTTTTCAAACCGGAAGTAACAAATTATTTACCTTATTTTAAAAATATTGTATAGAAACCATATATTTTTGGAATCAGCGAACTATAAGCTATCATTTGACGCTGTTAATGACATTTTAAACCGAATTTTTACTATTTTCATATCAAAAATACTTGTTTTTTTGTGAAAGACCTTCAATTGTTCTCTGAACAATTGGTTTTTAATTATTATTATTTTTTTCTTCTACCGCCACTTTTTTCTGACGGTGCTTTTTTGTTTCGCAAGATGTCGCTTAGATTTTTTGTGTATGATAACGAACAGTTATTGCGATTTTGAAACTGACCCTGTTTAGCCGAATACTTTTTATTGTAAGAGTTATCTCCCCAAACACTGTTTTTCTTGTGTACGCATCTCCTTCGCAACCGTAAAAGATTATGACAAATTTATGTCTCCAATTTGTTCGTTATATCCTCAGGATCTTAAGAATAATTTTAACCGAAGCGGTCCAGAAACTCCATATGAGAGTTATTTCCCCTTCTGTATTTAAAATAAGTAAAATGTAATTGTAATTGGTAAACCATAAGTGATAGGGACCTAGGGTCTTTTGATTTGAGGTCCTTGGTCCAAAAAAAAAGAAAATAGGGTCAAGGTCAAAGGTAAAGGTTATTTTTCAATTTGGATTTTGGCTTATTTTCACCTCTTTTCAAACACGATATAAGATATCGACAACATATTTTTACTTAATTGTTAGTTGCGACATGTCGTAACACATGCATATTGGTTTAAAGGGTACGCTTACATTAAATTAGAGTTTTCTCCCCTCTTTTATTTAAAAATATGCATATGGTGATATAACTCATGAACCAAATATAATTTAGTCCTAGGGTCATTTGATTTTAGGTCCTTGGTTGTTTATCTTGAAATTGAGCTCAAGATCATAGGTTAAATTGACGTTCGTGATTTTGACCTTTGCTTTTACCTCATATGTATACATGATAAATCCATGGGACTTTTTGCATTAGGTTTCAAGCCATTTAACCTTAGTAAATCCAACCGGAAATGACCTTGTGTAAACCGGAAGTAGCTTTTTTTGTACTTAATTAATGTAAAAGTTTATAGAACCAGATATTTTTGGTATCAGTGTCAATTAAACGTTTGAATAATACCAGAAGTAACATTTTTCAAACCGGAAGTAACAAATTATTTCTCTTATTTAAAAATATTGTATAGAAACCATATATTTTTGGAATCAGCGTACAATAAGCTATCATTTGAAGCTGGAAATGACATTTTAAAACGAATTTTACTATTTTCATATTAAAATACATGTTTTTTTTGTGGAAAGATCTTCAATTGTTCTCTGAACAATTGGTTTTTAATTCTTTTTTAATTGCTTCTATTAAGTAATATATTAATTTGAAATTACAACGACAGACACATACAGATTATACCGTTCACGATATTTCAGAGTTTAACGTTGCCAAGCGCAAAAATCCAAGCAGAATAGCCAATGACGTCATAGTTGTCCAATGAAAAATAAGTATGAAAAAGTACGGGAAATATGTTTATAAAACAATTGACCGGGGTAATAGTCTTTGAAACTATTGAATAGCAAACAGTATGTGGAATGAAATAGCATAAATACTTCATTCTTTTTATATAGAAAAAACATACTGAGGTATAATAAAATCAATTAGTCAATCAATCTGTGTTCGAAGTCAGTGCTTTAGCCGACTGAGCTAATGAAGTACTTTCCCAGTTCCACCACTTACGGCTGGCTAAGTATCTACTACGAAGGATAAACTAGTATATTAATGTATCATTCCTAAGTCATGAACTTCGACTGAGGTGCTTGCATCTTAAAATGTTTTTGTCTTTGAAGGAATTCAGGAATTATAGTATTGTAATCGTCAGTTTGAGTTTCGTCGTTCGCAAATGCAATTTGCGCCTCAGCTCAAAATAAAATGCATGCAAAAGAAAAAAAAAACAACATGTGTTTGCTTTTCGTGTTCCTTGAGTCGATGTCTCATTGACGTTAACACTTCGTCGGTGGTCTCGTGTTAGTGTACATGCCTCAAGTGCTTGGATGTCTTGGGTTCGATTCTCGGCCGGGTAAAAACAAAGACTTGAAAATTGGTAGTTGCTGCTTCTCCTCCTTACACGCAACATATTGAGGAAGCAAATACTGGTCGACCCGAAGTCAGAATGATATATCTGGGCAGGGTGACATGTCTTCCTGGAGACTGTTACCTTATGAACTATCACGTTAAAGTAGGGCTCAAAATTAATATTATATAAAACATGTTCTCGTCCTGAATATGCATTTAACATCCCCACTTGACGTTTAGCAGCCATCCGCCATCAGCATTGGCGTTTACATAACACCTCCTTCTACTTTTTCTTAAAACCTATTGCATTCTCCAAGTCCAAATTTTTAGTTTACGCGATACACGATTGGTGTATTTAAAAATAAGGATATTTGAAAGTGTACATGAAAATACGGGATTGTGGCATGACTGCAAGTGTATATAAAAATAAGGAAAGCGGTAGGACTAAAGGTGAATATAAAAAATAAGGAGATGTGGTATGATTGCCAATGTATATATCAAAAAGAAGATTTGATAGGAATGCCAATGCGACCAAAATCCACCAGAGAATAAAAAGACGTTTATATAATCGTATGGGCTTTCAATGTGAGCAAACCCATACCACATATACCAATATCAAGGCATTGACGTGACAAAATTGTATGTTATAAAATATGCCAGCAAATATTGTTGTAAAAAACAACTGATAAAGCCTTTCATCTTGTAATCAGCAAATTTTGCACAAATAACACATCTACAAATAAATGTTTGCTTAATTTGTATGTAGAACGCTAGTATCCTGCCTCTATGTTGAGCGAACGCTAATGGTAAAATTACTGACCACGTCACAGCCCATTCGGGGGTTCTCTTGGCATTTCAAGATTTAGACATGTCGATTTCTATAAGAATCGAAGACTACGGGTAGGTTTAAAAAAAACTAAGTGTTAAAGGGTCATGGTTTAAACGTGTGGGGTAAAAAATATATAAGTACATTGTCGAAATTGAAAAGAATATATATGAAATGAATAATTCTTTACCTTTCTTTTCACTTTTTATTATTATATAAATTGATGACAAAACAAAACGTTGGTAGCTTGTTTAAAAAAGGATAAGGAGACCGAATATTCATAAGTTGTAACAAAACCTAGCTTTTGTCGTATAGCCTTATTTTCTATATTGTGGTCTACAAGTTAAGCTTAATAAAAATATATTTTAACCAATGAGGTTATTGGACTCTTGACGACGTTAAAGTTGTGATATTAAATTTCTTAAATGTAAATCAATATTTGTTTAAATGTTGTTTCTAACGCAGAGTTAAAACATATGCATGCACGAGTAAATCTTTTTTGTAGATTGATTCAACAGCTTTGAAAAAAATAATACGAAGAAACAAAACGTATATGCCAATAACAAATTTCTTGGTTTACATTTAAAGCCATTTACATGTTTGTCCTTGATCCAATTTGAATTAAGTGTACAGACGATATCTTGCACATTTACCTGACGAAGAAGATAATATTTTGTCATGTTATTGAGGAAGTGAAATATAGTAGGTTTTTCATTTAGGAAGCCATTTTAAAACCTATATTCGATATGGCGACATCCATTTGTAAAGCACAAATACCACTTTCATGTCAACTGTGCAACCTTCGGATAGCAATACAATGGAAATGTACCGAATGTGAATTATTGATGTGTGACAATTGCAAAAACAACGTTCACTCTCGGATTAAGACTGCAGAAAAACATAACATTATCACTATCCTGGAGATAGGTAAGGATCTATCAGAGCGTCTTAAGGCTCTTCAGATTTCCGAGGTATTTTCTTCCGTTTTTAATGCATATACCACTGAATTGCCGGGAATCCACAAATTGATTTGCTGCGCTGATGATATAATTTATTTTCTGAATAGTATAAGCTGGGAGGAGTGTAGTATTTTGAAAGCTAAATTGTTAAAGGCTTCCATGAAAATATTTAAAAAAATGGACATTCAATGTGTCGATTTTGCTATCAGTTTTAATGAAGAAATACTATTTGCTCCGCTACCCGGATCCAAACTTATTGCGGTGACAACGACTACAATGGAAACGAAGACTGTATTGGATGTTTCCCCAAACAAAATCCTGGCAATTTACATGAGTAAACATAATGAACTTCTAATTGGTCTTCGAGACAATGGCAAAAAGTTCCCTGTAACTGATTCAAGTACAAGACAAGTTGCTATTTTCGGGACTGATTATAAACATAGATCAACATTTGAGCGTGATGGTACCGGGAAAAGGTTATTCAATTATGCGAGAAGAATCACAACCGACTCGGCTAATAATATTTACGTAATTGACTGGATTAATGATGATGATGATGAACACATAGGAAGAGTAGTGAGCATAAACAGAAATGGCAGTAACAGATTTGTCTACAACGGATGCGCTTCTTTCAATACACACGAAGCAGCCTTTAATCCTGAGGATATTGCAGTTTCATCGAGGGATACAACAATAATATCGGACTGTGATAATCATGCTTTACATGTTCTTAGTGCAAATGGAGAATTAATAGGACTACAAATCACAAAAAACTTTGATATTTTATATCCATGCAGCTTATGTATAGACAATGAAGGCTTTCTATTAATAGGATCAAAAACATTTAACGCTAAGATACATGTTGTGAAATTATCATCTTAACAGATGTCGTATATGTAAATATTTCCATTCTTATTTTCAAATTATTTGCTTTGAACAAAAATGAAGGATTTCTGTTGATTGGATCCAACGTAAATAAAAACGCGAAGATATATGTTGTGAAATTATGACCGTAAAACTATAGCAAATATCATTTATGTTGATATGTCCACTTATTTTTCAAAAACAACAAAAAATTGAGAATTAACCTGCTGATTTGCTTTGTTTTTATTTTATGTTATAATGAAAAGACATCGGATAGATGTACAAATCTAAAGTACATGTATAGAGTATAGAAAAATAAAATTATGAAAATAAGGGGATGTGGTACAATTGAAGGCAAACGTACGGCCTTAAACAATGAGAAATACCCATACCAAATTTTTAGGCAATACAAAATATTTTTATAACACTAAACAAGAGGCTAATTTGTTTAATTTACAGTGTGAAAATGAGAAATATGTTTCTTTAAATCGAAAAAATAATTAGAAAGACCTGATTTTGACACACTTTGATTCTCTAAATAAATGAACATATGCAGAAATTATGTACTGTTACCAGTGTTGATTTTTTATTGTTAAAAACTTCTATCGATTTTTCATACGTTTTCCCGAACTTTTTTGAGTGATAGTTTTATTATACATGTTATACTTTGAAGTTCGTTTCTTTCCCCCGTCATTTTTTGGTTCCTTAATTGTTAGACAAAACGTCATCAAACGCATTTAAAAGTATCATAAACTACACCGAATCACAATGTAAGTTTATAATGGTCCCACGTAACGTGTTGCGAGGGACATGGAAATACCGGGCGTCCGTCCGTCCGTCCGTCCGGTCTTGTTAGCGCTCTCACGTGTACAATTCTTGCCAGATTTTTATGAAACTTAGGTTTATATCAGCAATGTCTTGGACGAGTTCTAAAATCAGTGCCGATCAATTATTTTTAAAAGATTTATGCCCCTTGGACACATTAATTATATGGAAAATTGCATCGTTAGCGCTCTCATGTGTACAATTCTTGCCAGAATTTTATGAAACTTATATCATAGGTTTATATCAGTAATGTCTTGGATGAGTTCGAAAATCAGTGCCGATCAAGTATTTTTAAAAGAGAAATGCCCTTGGAAACATTAATTATATGACAAATTGCATCGTTAGCGCTCTCGTGTGTACAATTCTTGCCAGAATTTTATGAAATTTATATCATAGGTTTATTTTAGCAATGTCTTTTATGAATTCGAAAATCGCATTGCATTTGCTCTGAAGCCTTCATTTCTCTAAGATATAATATATGAATTGTTTAACAGAACAAAAAAAAAGTTCTTTTTTAAGTTATTGCCCTTGGACAGATAAAATATGTGCAACGCGGAGGACATTGGAACTCTGTTCTGTTATTCATTGTTTTTATTGAAAGTATCACGATAGTTGCTTTGTGTTCACATTAAGATAGGTTATTTGTATTTTGATATTAAACAAACGTGAAATATGATTATCGTTAATTATGTCAGTGTTATTACAAAATGAATGGGAAGCCATGTGTGCTATAATTTTTGAATAATTTGATTGAAAATTCATTTTGATACAAATATTTGAGCTGTTAATTTTATGATTTTTGCAGTCATGATTATGATGTGTTATATAGCTAAGGTTTATTGTTTTTTGTTTTTTGTAGCTTTTTACCAATATCACAGCGCACATACAGAATTCATTGTGTTCCATGATTTTCGGAATAAATGATTAAACCTGTTTACGTGTGGCTAATTATGGTTATACTATGCATTCAGGCAGGACAAATTACTTGTCGCCTTTGCGATTACTGCTCTAAATGTGGTTTTTAATAGTATATCTCTGTATATTTGACTTAGTTGGCTCCACGAGGGGCTTCAATAATGGTGATATTTTAATAGCGAATAAAAGAAAACGCGATATTTGCTTTTTGTGTTTAGGGATAGTTCAGTATTTGTTATTTGCAGCTTTGTAAGTTATCGTACGACATTCAACTAGGAACAACGTACAAGTACGTACATGTAGCCACATCTGGTCAAAATGGGACGTGTAGAGAGAATGACACACTCTCTGCACGTTAAGAACCCTTGCAACAACTCTTTGAGGGGTTCGTTGGTTGCCTGTTGCATGCAAGGCAAAATTTCTGTCCCTATCCAATATACCCTCATTATCCAGTGGCAGTCTAAATTTCCCGACATTAATCCCGAACGGACTCTATTACAGGACCTACTTATGGTATTTATTGTTAATTTGTTCTCGTCCTTAACATACATGAACTATTTGCATCTGGACGTTAAGCAACCAACAATTAATCATCTTAAATTGTCCGTTTATAAATTTAAGAATTATAAAGAAACTAAGGTTTCAACTCCCTCAGGCAAAGTTGACCTAAGATGGATTTTGCTATCTTTCATGTCCTTTTTGCTATAAATATAAATATTCAGCTTTGAGCGTTCCTGATGTAGGTGAATACAGAAAAACGCTTCGGACGAATGAAATCAAGTTTTTCATTTTTTATTAGATATTCCATTTAATTAAAATGTTATTGTCAATGGGAAATAGTGCATGAGCGGATAATGGTTTTTGATATTGTAATTTTACTTTTTGCAGGGAGGCCTCTTTTAGTAGAATATTTGTGTTTTATTGAATTTTTCTGATTTCCTGATTTTTCACTGCTATTCGTTAGTTTTCTCACCCCTATTTTCAAAACTCACTGTAATATTTATCAATCATAAAATTTTATTGACTAATAAAACAAAGGTAGCATGAATTGAAATTGAAAAAATTATGAGTCCCCTGTACTCGGTTCAAAATATGAAAAGTAAGAAAATGTGGTATCATTGCCAATGAGACAACTCTCCAACAGAGACCAAATTACATATTAGTAAACAACTAAAGGTCACCGTATGGCCTTCAACAATGAGTAAAACCCATACCGCATAGTCAGCTATAGAAGGCCCCGAAATGACAAATGTAAAACGAGAAAACTGACGGCCTGATTGAAGTAAGAAAAACATGAACGAAATACAAATATGATATACAGCAACAAATGACAACCACTGAATTACAGGCTCCTGACTTGGGGTCAGGCACATACAGAACGTGGCGGGGTTAAACATGTTAGCGGGCGCCCAACCCTACCCATAACATGGGACATTGGTGTAACAGTACAAAATATGAACCAACTATAAATCAGTTGAAAAAGGCTTAAATCATTAGGTCGATACAAAGCAGAAAAAGAAGTAACAAAAACACCGACCGGACGTGGTAGGATATTTATACATCCTACAACAAAAAAGGCACTACGTCCAGATCTGAGAGTAGTCGCAGTTACTGACAGCTAGTTCAAAGCCGATAACAACGAATAAAAAAAAACATGTATCTAAGACTAAAGTATCAATCAGTACACATCCAACATCTAATGGATTAAGTTTAAAGACGCAATTAACAGTCAGAGAAAACATGACCTTGTGCAATGCCAAAATAAAGGTATCGATAGATTGTAGAACCGCGAATGTGCATATTTATATGTATATAACAATAATATTAGTTTGGTTTTAATTTACTAATAACACAATCAATATTTATACTAATAAAAACAATATCTAAAGATCTAGATATCCTCTAATTATTTGTGTCGCTGGGTTGATGTCTTATTATTGTATACCTTCATATATTTAATCTGAAATGTTGATATATAACATTTTGCAGTATGTAATAACAACAATGAAGTAAATCATACATAAAAATAACAGGAGGTGACACAAATATTGGACAGTACAAAAATCACATCAACCGCAAATGTCAGATTCCTCCGAAAAAAAAAAAAAAGTACAAACATAGACAAACAACAACGAACAACACATTATTCAGATAACCTGATAAAAATGTCATACTTAATTGACAAGAATTGCCAAAATATTAGCTGTAAAATATTGGACTGTACAACAAACCATATTAACCACTAACACTGGACACCTGACACATCTGATGAAATAATAGTAAACAACGCACGGTTTACATAGCCTGGTTTAGTACAGACAATAAACTGTGGTGGGGTTTTTCCCAGTATTACGTGCTTATAACACCGCTATCCTTATCGTAAAGGTACCTGCATGGTCCAGCTACCGACAGGATGACTACTAACTAAATAAGAAATATGAAATGGTTCATAATTAGGTAATCAGGCTCAAAACGAGCTTGATTCTACAGCAAAGATAGCTAAAGTATACGTAGCCATAGCTGTTGGTTGAATATTGCCGCTCAAGAAAGCAAATAAGAAACGACACTCCTAAAGTCTTATCATAAACTTCATTGAAATCAGCTGTAAAAAAGGAAGATAATTTAACATGTATGACCAGATATATTAAACAGTGAAAAAGACCACACCAACCACCGTTGATTATGTTATAATTTTGGAGTTTCCAAAGGGGTCCGTCTAAGTTCCGGTTCTCGGTCAAGGGTCAGTCTCTTGGTCTCAATATATAATGGAAGAGACAAACAAATGACCAAAACATATGTTCTGCATAGTTTCAAAGAACATAAAAGAAAAGTTTTGTTTTGATAAAAAAAAAAATGTCCAGGAGAACAAAACTAAACAAAAACATTGGAAAAGATTCAGTAATATAAATCGGTCTCTGTCACGTTTTCTTGCATTTTCTTACAATGGATTTTCATGATTGTAAAGTTACTTAAAAATGTCATTATTGATTAACATTAATTGCTTGTGATTTGTTTTTTTATTACCAAAGTTATATAAAATTGACGTTGTTTAATTTTGTACATCAGTTTAAAACAGAGATACTGTAATACAAATTACAAACTGACAAAAGTCGAAAAAAAATTAAGGTGTTCACGAATCAATAGCGAGCGGATATTTAAAATTAAATATTTCATATATCTAACTATCTTTCATATTTGCATATAATTTCATTTCGAATGTATATAAGCAGTAATACATGATGATTTATTCATTTTGATATTTTCTCTTTTTATTTTTTGTTGTATAAGTTTTTCACTAATGAATGCAAGCACTAATTTCTCTACGAAATCAGTAAATTTAATAGTCAAATTAGGTCTTTATTGTTTTTTTGAAATATTTTCAAATTGCCTTTACGTTTTCTTGTAAATATATCATACAAAGAGAAACAACTCTGTTTCAATCTTTATCATTTTTAGTCCCCGTTTAGATGAACATTGGTTTCGAAAATAATATCAATTAACAAGATATGATCACATTATCGCAAAACAGAAGTTGTACCTTTTTTCTTTTGAGGGGAGAGGAGTCATATTTCTTTACTTGTTGCGATCGATACAAGCACTTTGAATACAGTCAGGAGCCTGTTGTACAGTGGTTGTCGTTTGTTGGTGTGGTTCATAAGTGTTTCTCGTTTCTCGTTTCTTATATAGATTAGACCGTTGGTTTTCCTGTTTGAATTGTTTTACACTAGTCTTTTGGGGGCCCTTTTTAGCTTGCTGTTCGATGTGAGCAAAGGCCTGTGTTGAAGGCCGTACTTTGGCCTATAATTATTTACTTTTTACACATTGTATGGATAGTTGTTTCATTGGCACTCATACCACACCTTCTTATTTATATGAAAGTTCAAAATAAAATTATAATAGTAGCATTTTGACGCTAGGAACGATATTTTTTCTCAATTAGTAACGTCAAAATTTGACGTTTCACGCCGATAATCGAGGATATTTGTTTCTTTTTGTCGGCAAATTTTTCTTTCTATAAAGATATTTCTTATGTTTGATTGTCTTGAATATGCATGAAATACTTCCCACTGGACGTTTAGCAAATAACAACTAATACAACATATGCATTTGGTTAAGATAATAGGATATTGAATGTAAAAACAATGAAATAGTTTCCCCATTTTGATCCGAGAAGAAGGAAAAAGCTCTCAATTTTGCTTTAAAAAGTATGGGAAGGGAGAGCTTCAAGTAAAACAGGTCCTGCTCAAAAAGTAGTGCATTACGTGTATTAGAATTTGTTTCTGTTTTGTTTCATATATGAGACTCTTTATGTTTTCTTAGACTTTTTTAGAGAGAGATGTCCACTGTAGTTTCAAAAATTGTTTTGCTGTTAGTGACGAGCACAGATAGTGTTGCAGTATGTTTGCAGTGCACTGCATTTGGTCATCTTATTTTCAAACATTGAATTTCAATAATAGTCATTTTGGTTGATACATTGTTTTACATTCTGAGCTTTTTTCGTGACCGACGTTTGTATGCATTCTGTTTTTCTATCTTTTCTTTCATTTTCTGTCTTTGATTTCCGGACTTATTTTTTGTATTTCTTTGTTAGTATGTATTTATCAGTTTTATTTTCTGCTATTTTCATTTTTCATTTCTTTATAAAATTTATTTATCTTGGTTCCGGACATATAATTCATTGTTCCTGCATTTACTATGTTACCGATTCATTTCAGTTTGTCATATGTTTATTTTCGATAATTATTTGAGTAAATTACGTAAATTCTTTACTTTTTCTTTGCAATTGTTATCTTCTTTTCTACCATAGCCATATATAAATTTTTCGATACATAAACATTTGCGAAATGTATAAGTTTTTTTACTTTGTTTTGTCTTTTGATCTTAAAATTATGTCGGACCGTACTAAATTGTTATTTAAAAAAAAAACTTTTAAAGGGGCTTTAGCTACAAGATATATAAAAAATTAAAATATGATTTTGTTTTGTTCAAACACTAATGAAAGTGAAATAGAGAAATAA